CAGGATGCAGAACTACAAGTACGACAAAGCCATCGCCCCGGAGAGCAAGAACGGCGGCAGCCCGGCCCTCAACAACAACCCGGCCAAGGGCAGCACCAAGAAAGTGCTGCTCATCTTCCTCGACCTCTTCTGCCTCTTCATGGGTGAGCGCCTCCGACTTCCAGCTCTTTTCTTCTCCCCCCCCCACGCTTTGCTAACTTTGCCTCCGTGCCTTTTGCGCTGCTGCCCGGGATCCCCCCCTGCGGGGCATGGCTGGGGATCAGTTCTTTTTGCAAGAGCTATTTTGGTTCTGTCTTGCTCTTAGGCAAGGCGGTGTGTGTTTGCAAAGTGCCTGCCCGGGTTGAAAAGTTTTTTTTGTTTTTTTTTTTTTGCAGAGAGGGGGAAAGAAAAGGAAAGAAAAAGTGCATTGCAAAGGTGGGGGGCTTGTTTTTGTTGTTTGGGTCTGTTTGCAAAGTGCCTGCGCCTGGGTGGCAGAGTTTTGCAGAGGAGGAAAAAAAAGGGAAAGGAAAGACAGAGTGCATTGCAAAGATTGGAGGGGTTGTTTTTTGTTTTTTTTGCTGTCCTGGCTGTGTGCAAATGGGATGGCTTTGCTGCAGAAGTAGGAGTGTGCTGGTGAAGCAGCTGCCACACTGGGGCACTGGAAGTGGCTTGATTTGCCTAGGACCAAGTGAGCCCCACACAGAAATGTGGTGCGAGGCAACGTTGTGCTGGTGCCCATCCAAGCAAAATGGATGTCCCCGCAGGCAGCAGAGCTCCTGAGTGTAAACACAGCATCTCTCCCCCTTGCTGGCTGTCCTGAAAAAGCCATATTGGAGGGCGGGGGTTGAGCCGAGATTTGCGTCTGCACACACCGTGGTCCGCTAGGTGCCATCCCCAGCACTGGTTGTGCTGGGGAAGTGCGGCGGGTTGTTTCTCCAAGGCCAGAACTGCAGGAGGAAACAAAGCCAGTTGTTTGCATTTGGGAGATGCAGTGTCATTTGTGCCAACAGGTTGTCCGTGCGTAGGTTTTAGTGGTTTTGGAGGACAGCGTGAGTGCAAATCCATCACCAAGGAAAAGGAGGGGGAAAGTCCTGGTGGACTCAGTGCTGCACAGAAGTGGATATGTGGCAGGTTCAATAGTACACAGTAGGAGAACAGTAGGAGGTTCAAAAGTGAGACTATGTCACATTGCTAAAAATAAATAATAATAACGAGGAAGCAATCTTGCATCTTCAGTTAAGGCCTTCAGCTCTGGAAGCCTTTTGAAATGGGTCAGGTTAGGCCATCTTAAGATGAAATTCCAGCTTTTAGCTACCAAGCCTGTTTAGATAACCAGGTGGTGGGTGTTCATAAGTACGTCCAAAGCACCCAAGTCCCGTCTCCTGCTGTATCAGAACCGATCGGTGGCATGGACAGACCTGGGGATAGATTTACAGGTGGTGTAAGCTGGCACTGACCGCAGCGGGGGGTATGCCACTCTTCAGCCGAGGGTCTCACCAAATGATCAAGATGATGATCGTGTGCTCAGTGCCTTTTAGCAACCACTGTCCAGTTCAGCAAGCTGGTAAAGCATGTTGGAAATCATTCACAGGAGGACAAGCAGCCTCACAATATCTCAGGGTCCAATAGATGGACAGGAAGTCCCATGAAAACACATCCATCCCCTGCCCAGCACACTGCTGAGGTTGGGAGATGCTGTGTCAAGCCCTTGCAGTTCAGAGACACCCTTTCATGTACTGAAAGCTTTCTCTGGTACTTTATTATGTATCATATGATGATTAACACTTACTAAAAGGATTCAGAACAGGCCGCTTAATCTCCAGCAGGCTTTGCTGGATGCTCATTTTCCCTTGCTGTGTACTTGTAGAAACACAGAAGTGTGCGATAACCACCTATTAGCAGTAACCTTCCCCTGACTCCTTAGACAAACCCAAGAGCCCAGGCATGTGCGCGTCAGTGGCTATGATGTTGAGTCTCTCCTCAAGACTTTGGGCCAGATCCTACATCCATTAGGACCCGGGTACTTTCTGCTTTGGTGGGGCAGGCTCTTCTCTGGTCTGCTGTTTGCGGGGTAGGTCTCTTTTGCTGTCTTCGACACGTGTGTGCTGCTGAAAAGTAACAGCAGTAGCTTTTTGGATAGACACATTGACAGAGGAGTGAAGGAGCAATGTAGGTTTGATGTTTCTGGCAGCGGTTCTCTAAAAAAGAGGCGCATAATAATGCATACATTTATATGCCCAGCCCAGCTGAAGGGCAACAAAACAGTCTTTTTTTTTAAATTTATCTCAAAATGGTGTGTCACAGGACACTAGACTGACCAAAAATAAATTTAAAAAAAGCAAGAGGAGAGAGAAAAGGGATATGTCTGTAAACAGTATCCAGGGGGCACTGTGGTCTAATGAATCAAACATGAGTCTGGGGGTCAAAGACCTGAGTTCCAGTCCAGGTTCCAGCACAGATTAGCTGCATATCCTCAGGGAAGTAATTTAACCCTTCTGTGCGTTGTGTCTGCCCAGTCTGCATCCCCTACGCTCACCTCTGTTAGCTCCAAAGACATAGTTGTAGACAGTGGTGTATAACAAGTGAGTAGGTACATTTCATGAAACTTAGAAGTTTTTACCAACTAAGGAAACGATGGGCATTTTAAGTTACTTTGGTGTTTCAGATGCACCTTTACTAGAGCCTTCTATCACCTTCCTCCTTCCCTTACCAAGGTACAAACATAGCACTGTATTGATTTGTAGATAAAAAAAATAGCATGGCAACACTGGATGTTTAACTGACAGATGCATTTAGGAGAAGTTAGCTGCCTTCCAACAAATAAACGAATAACACCACAGCATGCAATTTTAATATATCTGACACCACTGTCTTTAGGACAATTGTTTCTGCTTAGAGCACACTTTTTGAAGGCTGTCAGTTTGATTTAATTTGTACGTAGCGTATCAATCATCTGGTCTGTATTACTAGGCATTAATACGCTGGGAAGGGAGAGAGAGTCTTCTCTTTATATTCTCACAGGAATACAAGGCAGTGCAGCAAGCTTCATCTTCTTGTATCTGGAAAAAACATAATACTTGATATGCACTCTATAAAAGTGATGTACGTAGAAACATATAACTAGCTTGACTTTGCCTCACTTATTTAAGCGGAAGGTTAAATTCTCAGTGAAAGGATTTTGAAGGCTAGATCTGTCAAATCTTTATTCTGGCGCTCCTGGCTCGAGTAAATTTTACTCAAATGAGTCAAGGCTGATGTTCTGCATTGAGAGGAATCGGCTGACGTAAATTATTGCACTTGAGATAGGGTGGGTAAATAATACCTAACCTCTGATACCGATCGCAGTGGCGGATGACACAACACAGTATAACTGCTTATGCCACACTGTATTATAGGTAGATGCAGGAAGTGGGTATTTGCGGGGTGGAGAGTTGGCACAGTTAAGAAGCATCTGTTAGTGAGGGCACAAATCAGGTAGCTGAAGGTAGTAGGAGACTGATCCTTGCCTAATTATGCTCAGATACCTAGACCTGGTGGGACGTAATAAGGGACTTCTGTAACCCACGAGGTGCGTGTGCGGAAGGTCTTTTCGAATAGGTTTGAACCGATCCTCATGCCAGACTTGTTGGGTTACTTTGTGGCACAGCTGCCAGGTGTGAATGCAGTAGTAAAGGTCAGAAGTGATGAAGTTCAAGGGAAGGAACTTTTCTGCCACCAGCTGGCAGCAGAAAAGTTGCTTCTCTTTTAGTGTAAGCTGTGCTGGGGAACGGACCCTGGTGAAATGCTGCATTGTTAAAAAAAAAAGTAATTCCTGAGAACCACAATCAACACCAGGCTCAGTTTTATAGCGGTACTTGGTGGTAGGCCAGATTCTCGGTTGGTACAAACAGTCATCTTCCAGTGAATTCACTGGGTTATTTCAGCTGAGAATTGAACCTATTGCCTTGAGAGGAAGGCAAGTCTCCTGTGTTTTTTTTGATGTGGAAGTAATTCAGAGAACAGAACATTAACTTTCATTTTCAGCTTCCTAGGAGGGCACATTTATTTCTGCCACACCTATTCCTTGAATCTGATGTGAAACAATATTTCCTAGCAGCGATACAATAAGTTTGAAGCTCCCATTAAAACTGTTCTTCACTATGTGATTCATTTTGCAGAAATTAGTCCGTCTCCACAGATTTTCTTTGTTGAAATAGATACTGGCAATCAGATTTCCATAGGGAGCACACTATCAACATGGGCAAGATGATGTTTGCCTAGTAATAAAACTTTTGTTTGGAGAAAGGCAACTTCACTGATTTCTGACTTTCTCACACCCTTAATTGTGTGTGAATAGTTAAGGAGACCCACCTTCTTACTTCTCATTAGAGGGAAATATTTATCTTGATGGGGGAAGAATGGTAGATGCAGAAGAGAATGATTCACATCTTCATTACTTAAGCACCCCTAGGGCAATAAGGTCACTGAAAAGCAGGCAGAAATGGAGCCATTGACCAGCTGTCAGCCGCATGACAAGCTGAATGGGTTAGACTATTGGATGAAGATGTGCAGAGCAAGTCCTGGTCCTACACATCCCCTCCATTGTGGTCAGAGTGTCAACACCTTCAGAATGACAAATCCCAAATGCAATGTATTGGCAGCACGGGGCACCTCGTATCTGAGTAGATTAAGCCTTACACAGGCAGCACTAATGTCCCTCCCAAGAATGACCCTGAGCTTTGTAACTGACACCGTGCCGCCTCCAGAAATGTCACGTCCATATGTCATTCAGAAATAGCATCTGGCACAGCTGGCATTTAAGCCAGATCACCTGAAAAAAATGCTCGCTCTCCAATTCCCCCCGCTCTCTGGAGGGGGAATATGACTTTTTCTCAATTGTCTAATTTAGAGAATAAGAGGATTTCTCTTAAATTGCTGGGACAGCAAGCCAGCCAGTCAGCCTTACAAGAGTCCGTGCTAACCCTGGCTGCTAGTTATATCCATCAGGAACCCATGTGCCTGGAAATCCAGTTTCGTGGTTCTGCCTGGTTGGGACAGTGTCCACAAGTGCTTCAGCTACACTGTTCGGTGGGAGCAAGCCAGACTTCAAGAAGCAGGGCAGGAAAGGTTTGCAGAAAGCGAGTCAGACCTGCTGTCGTTGGGAGTGTCTTGCTCCATCTGCATA